CAACCACCTGAGCCACACCAGTCAGGGCCTCGTTTAGTTTTTTCTTTGGTTCACTGCTCAGTTTGGGCTGAGAAGCACTAGCCCACAGTGCATTTCCCTCTCGGTTATTATAAACTATTTATCAAACCAGTCCCAGGCTCAGTGTACCCATCCATACAATGGAGGCCCTAGCAGGGAATTCCCCAAGCCGCATGGCACCCCAACCTCCACCTTCACCCCCCCCCCACCATGTGTTACTTCCATTTCCACATGGCTTTTTGTTAAGATGATAATCAAATGCAGCCTCCCTTGGGAGAGACAGGGGTTCTAGCCCTGCTCAGGCCCTTAGCTACGGGAGCCTGGGTAAGTCACGTGCCCCTTCTTCAGCTCTGTAGACGCTCTCCACACACTCATGGTGTTCCTATTTATTCTTATTATTGAGAACACATGTGAGCTCTGAGATGCGAGTCCTGGTTCTCCCAAGTGAGTTGCTATGGAATTCTGGAAAGAATGCCTCCCCAGTCTAGGCTCTGGCCCCATTCTTTGTGGTGCATGCCCTGCATGCACCACCCCCCTCCTTCCCAGTTACCTTGTCACACCAAGGAGTCAGCACTTCTCAGGGACAGAATGAGCACAGAAACCGAGTTCTGCAGAAAGGTGTGTGTACTGGGGGCCGGGGAGGATTTGTTTGGGTGCCCTGGATTTGGGGCTGTCCAGAGGGCACTTAAAATGCTCTCCTAGAGGATCCCTTGGCTCAGACAGACTCAGAGATGGGGCCCCTCCTGGCTGGCTATTACGCTCTGAAAAGAGAACTTTATTGTTCTCCTAAACCCCCAACTACCCCAGACTTGGGGCTGGAGCTCAAGGATCAAAGGCCGAGTTTCTTCCATGCTTGGACGAATACTGCTGTTTAGGGAGAGTATGAAGACCAGAAGCCCAGGTTCCCAAAGTGACTCAGGAGCTTGGGTTCCTGCCCTGGCTCTGACACCCCAGCTTTCAAGATGCTGTCAGATACACTCTCAATAATTGTCATTGTCACAGTCATGAGAAGGCTGGGAATCTGAGGTGTAGGATTCCAAGACTCAGAAAGTACCCTGAAGGCAGGAGGTGAAGTGCTCCACCCCAGTCCTGTCCCCCTGTCTCCTATGCAGACAGAGCCACAAGGTAGCACTGTATTGGGGTTCCTGGTCAGAAACAGGGGGCTCCTGGAAGTTATTCTGGATCTCTGATCTCTAGAATATAACACATCTGCCCCACCCGCTCTGATTTCTCTAAAGTTCTGCCCCTTTGCCTTGGGCGTACCCATCACCTGGGACCTCGCTGAAATGCAGGTTCTGGTCCAGGAGACCTGGGGGAGGGCCTCAGTTGCTGCACTGCTGGCCAGCTCCTTGCAGATGCCCGTGAAGCTGGTCTGTGGCCCACATTTAGAGCCCCAAGGCCTTAGAGCCCCAGTGTCCTGTGTGAAGAGGCTGGGAGGGCACAGTGCAGCTCTGAGCTCTCCCCAAGCCTCTTTCCGGGCCCTGGGAGAAGTGCATCCTGGTTCAGACCTCCAAGAAAAGAGGAATTAGAGAAGCTGAGGGTGAGACCCGAGGCCTACCCAGTGCAGAAAGAAACTTGTTCAAGATCTCATAGCATTTCAACTGTGAGTGAAAATTTTTAAAAAATGTTTTTGTTTTCTTTTAAAGGTCTCAGCATTTCAAGGACAAAGTTTTGACTCAGGCCTCCTCCACAGGAAAAACAAAAACGAGACAAAACATTCACAGAGGCGTTTGCTGTGCTTTCTCTGGGTAAGCTATGGTTTCCTTTGATTTTTTTTGTTTCTTTTTTAAAAAATAAATGAAGGTGTGCCGATTTTGTATTAAAGAGAAAATTGCTTTTAATAAAACAAATCCTCACAAGGTTCTTAGTAAATGAGATTCTGTTTATGAATATGCTGAGTGGACTGTAACTACACAGCAGCTGCTTCGTGTCCTGGGCGTTGACTTCGTTCAGCTCAAACAGCCCGAATTCAGTTCAGCAAAGCTGCCCTTACTCTTCTGGGCACGCGAATCACCAGGATGAGGGAGCGCCAGCAATTTCACCACCGACCGCCAGGCCAGCTGCCTCCCGCTCCCCTTCGCCTCCGCTGTCGGAACGGGAGTCTTCTCCCTTAAACTGGGTGAGAAGGAGCCCTAATCCCTTTTCGTAGTAAACGACTTCGAGCCAATGCTGCTTTTGTTGCTGGTTTCCTAGGCTTAATTGCGAGCTAAATTAATTTGAAAGAAAATAAATGTTACAGCTCTGGGGCGAAGTCTAACGAGCCTTGGGCAATTAGGGAAGAACGCATCTAATTAACCAGGGCCCAGGGGCGCCTTCACACAACGCTGGGGTGCAGGGCCCAGAGAGGGGCAAACGATTTTTCTGGCTTCACAATGAGAAGTAGGAAAAAAGAATTAGGAGAAACTCACCTCCAGTCTCTGAGCCCCCAGACGGGGAACCGGGAGGTCCTGTTCCACGGTTTGGGGATTCTCGGAGTTGGCATGTTCAAGACTGCAGTGAAATGTTCTCAAGATCCTACAGTCCCTCCACTGGAGGGTGTGCCCGCGTCCGCCACGACCCTCACCCTCGGCCCGGGCCCCGGCGACAGCCCGGCGGGGGCGGGATGCTTGTTCGCCAACGCAGCTTGCGTTTCAGCCAGGTCCTGGGGTCGCAGGAGTTTGGGTGTCTCTGGCCGGCGTGACGGGAGGCCGAGAGGACGGAGGCTGAGAGGACGGAGGCCGAGAGGGCTCACGCCTTGACCCCAACCCTCGCCGGTCCCCAGCCAGCGCTGTGTACACCCAGTTCCCTCCTAGCCGCGTCCTCTCTTTCTGGGCGCAGACCCTGCTTTGGGCATTATCTCACCTGTCGTCCTAGTTGCCAAGGACGGTGGGGGCAAAGACCGGCTCACTTTCCCACCCCATCTTTCTCGCTGCTCCCGGAACCTTATGGTGATGCTCCAAAAGGCTTGGGGATAAGGCGGAGCTTTTTAATTTTGAAGCCTTTCCTGACTCCTAGGCCCTGCGCTTTACAGGTTACAAAGAGAGGTTTCCCCCTCTTGTCTTGTTTAACTGCGGGAGAACCCTGTAAGGCAGGGGGTTACACATTCCCATTCACAAATGAGGATGCTGAAGGAGAAGGGACCGGCTTAAGGTTAATGGCCCTGTCAAAACACTCAACTTGGTCATTAAAAAACAGAGAAAGTTTACATTCCTGTACTAACAGAACGCACAGACCATCATTTTCCAGCCCCAATGCCCTGACTAGGCTGTTGTCAGCCAGGGACAAAATCCCTGGGTGGAGGGCTTTCAATTCCCCATGACTGCTAACTAGGTAAGCCACGCTGACTTCTGCCTAGGAGAGCCAGACTGTGTAGCTGTGCGTGGAGAACCTTTGAATATCATATCAGCAAGGGCCCATATGGAGATGATGCCCAACTCAAGACTTTTCCAAGGTCAGGAGCCTAGGGCTGGAACCCGGACCCACGGGAGCAGGGTCAGTGCTGCAGGTGCTTTCCACCTCCAGGTGGCTGTTCCCCACCACCCAAGTCAGGAAGGACCAGCATGTAGGCCTGTACGACTGTCCAGCACAGTCGTCATCGGCCACTCACTGCTGCCCAGCACTTGGTGTGTGGCTAGTCCACATTTAGATGACTGGTAAGTGTATAACACCCTCCAGATCTGGGAGACTTGGCATGAAAACACTAGAACATCTTAACAATTTTTATGTTGATTATTTGTTGAAACGATAGTTTAGGTATATTGGGTCAAATACAAAATATTACTAGTTAATCTTACTTGTCCCTTTTTATTTTATTGATGTGGCTACTAGAAAAACTTAAATTACACACATATCTGTATCCCTATTGGATGACACTGAACTAGACAAGTACCCGCCTGGACTGAACCACATCCGCATGGCTGTGAACGGGACAGGGCAATCCCCAAACTGAAAAGGAAAAAAAGCACCAGTGTTCTCAGCCTTCTTTCTCACACGCCCTCCACTCTTCCCTAGCAAGGTAGCTATGCACCACGAGGCTGAGTTTCTCCTGCCAGAACTCATTGCTCAAAGACCTTTTTTTTATTATTATTAAAACAGTTCATTTGAACACTCAGGTTTATCTGAAAGTGGCACCCAAGCCTCTGAAATATGTAACGCTAGATATTTTTGCTCCAGAATAAAAACTTACAAGATTTCTTATGAGAAAGTGTGTGTGTGGGGGGTGGGGAGGGAGTTGTTGTATTTTCTGATTTTGGTTAGCTTGTTGCATAAAACAAATAAATGTATACAAAACAAAATTTAAAATCCAGTTTCTTTGGAAAGCTTACTTCACTGACCACCCCAATTAATTTTTCACTTTCGTTTTCGCGTGGGAAGGCTGCTGAGGGATGGCAGAGAGCGCCAGGGATGGAAGCCTGGACCCCATAGGCTGAAAGCTGTCACCAGTAGGCTCTCCCCCGAATCCCTGTCATCTCTGAACGTCATTCAGTTTAGCCACCGGGTCCAGGGCTGCTTGATGGAAAGAGTGGACCATGGACATGTGTATTTCTATCTTCCTCGCTGGGAAAATACACTTAGGACCCAGATGAAACAGCTGCCAAGTGATCAGCCATCATGCTCAAAAGATTCCAGAAATTTTCATACAATCAACGCCTGGAGCTAATCCAGGGACTTTAGAATAGATGCTTGCCGTGAGCGCCGCTCTAATTCCCTGGAATCAGGTTAGTTTAGGCCCTCGGTGGCCTATGGATGCTGCCAATATGCCGGGCAGCATCCAGGAGGATGGGGCCCTGAAAGGTCACATGAACCCCGCAGCCCTCCTGCATAACGCATGGGGAGACTGAGCATGTAGGTGATGGGACTGTGACACACTGGGGAACTGAGGCCCAGTCCAGACTCAGCTGGGTCTGCCATTCTCAGAGGCAGGGAAAACCACCGCCAGGCCAAGCGAAGCAGAGCGATTTCCCCAATTTAAAAAAAGAAAACAAAACAAAACAAAAAGCTGCTTCTTTTGCAAACTTGTCTTCCTCACCTTAAGAAGGAAGGCGCTATTGGAGCCTTTTATTGAGGCAACATAGTCAAAGGCACAAGAGGCTGAACCCGTGTAAAAGGCCCGAGTTTCGCACAATACAGGGAAGAGTGAAATCGTGACTCCCCACAATTCGGATCCTAGCGTCTGGTGTAGACACTATGCTGCGCCACCTGAAAGCTGAGTCCTTTGGCGCTTCACCTGACTGAGGGCACTTTTTTTCCCCAGTCCCTGGGCTGAGGGTGCCTTTCCTCATTTCCTCCTATTAACAAAGTAAACCAGGTGTGTACGTGATGCACTCGGAGGCTGCGCGTCTCCTTCCCACGGTCCCTTCTATGTGGTTCTCAGTTCGGCCCTCTCTCCAGTCCTGTCCTCAGGTCTCCGGGATACTTCGTTCGTGTAAACTGCCGAGGCATCTATGAATTTCCGACCGTATGCTCGGCTCACATGGCAGACACGAAACGATCTACCCCGCCGGGATAGGCGGCCACATGGCGAGCATGGTAGGCACCTGCACTGCTCCCTCCGAGCTGCCCACCCGGATTGTAGCAGGGCCCCAGCGCTCCGAACTGGCCGGGCGACGTGCGCCCATAGAAGTCCACTGCGGTCTCGACGCCGCCGCTGCTGCCACCTGAGGGGGGCGATGCGGGCCCCGCCAACCGGCCAGCGGCCGCGAAGAGGGCACTGCTGGCCCCTTGAGGGTATGAGCCGTCCTGGCCCGCGTAGGCGGCCGCATAGGCGGAGGGGTTGGCAGGTCGGGCTCCCGCGCAGCCCGCGGGCTGGTAGCTGGCGGTCGTGGCAGAGGCGCTGGCGGAGGCAAAGGCGCAGGAGCCCGCGGGTCCCGACGGCACGGGGCCCAGCTCTGGGCTGAGCGGCCGCTCGGGCACGAGGCCGAAGACTCGGCACGGGCCGGGCGACGCAGCGGGGTAGTAGACCGGGGGCGGCGCGGCGAGCGACGGCGGGGCATAGCCCGCGTAGACGGCACCCGGGTAAGGCGGGCGCGCAGCGGGCACCGCGCCCGGGAAGATGGCGGCGGCCGCGGCCGCGGCGGCGGCGGCAGCGGCGGCGGCGGCGTCGTGCATGTAGGCTGGGTACGTGGAGAGGTCCGAGCGCTTGAAGCGCTTGCGGCGGCGCAGGAAGCTGCCGCTCTCGAACATGTCCTCGGCGTTGGGGTCGAGAGCCCAGTAGTTGCCTTTGCCCGGGCGACCGGCCTCGCGCGGGATCTTGAGGAAGCAGTCATTGAGCGTGAGGTTGTGGCGGATGCTGTTCTGCCACTTTTTGGGGTTGTCGCGGTAGAAGGGGAAACGCTCGGTGATGAACTTGTAGATGCCGCCGAGCGTGAGGCGGCGCTCCGGCGCGTGCGCGATGGCCATGGCGATGAGCGCGATGTAGCTGTAGGGCGGCTTCCCGCGCTGCAGGGGGCGCTTGCGCCGCCGCCCACCCGCACCGCGGCCCGCCGCCTCCGCCGGGACCCCCGCCCCGGCCTCACCGCGTTCCTCCTTTACTGCCGCCAGGGCTTCCGGTTGCGGTGGCGGCGGCGGCGGCCCGCTTTCGGCAGTCATGGTGCAGCCGTCCCGCGTCCCCGCCGCCCGCTTCAATCGAGGATCGAGGCGGGTCTGAGAACTGCGGGGTTCGGCGCGCAGGGGCTCGGGAACGGACGCTGGGCCCCTCTGCGGAGAGCTCCGAGGGCCCCTCGCGCGCTGGCACCTGGAGCACAGCTTCCCCGGCAGGGGCGCGCTGGAGGCTGGGCACCCGCGGTTTCCGGGCTGGCTCGGTGGGGACAGAGGCTCTGGAGTGTCCCGCCCACCGACGGCTCTGCTCGTGTTCTGGAGCTCGAGGCCAGGCGCCCTCAGTGGTGTTGGGACCGGGACTAGGACCCCGTCGCGGGCTGAAGGGTCCTTTGCGCGCTGGTGGCAGGCGGTCAAGAGGTCTGGAAGTGGTCCTGAAGCTGGGGCGCCTGCAGCTGATGGGTTTCCCGCTGATCCGAGGATAGCCGTCGAGGTCGTGCTTCGGGCCGATGGCCAGAAGAAAGGGCAATTAGTTACGGCGTGTGCACTGATGGGGGTCGCCTAGGCTGCGCCCCAGGCTGCGGCTGGCGAGGAGGGCGAGGGGCGAGGCGCGGGCCTCGAGGTCGTGGTGCGGGGCAGGCGGGGCGGCCGGCGACTCCCTCTCCGCAGGGTTGGCCTCTACCGCCGGGACCGCTGGCGAGGCTCTCCCCTGCACAAACCTGGACCGGCTCCTCCCTCCACCGGCTTCTTCTCCTTAAAGGGGGCAGGAAACTTGGGGCGGCGCCCGTTCCCTGCCCGCCCCCCGACTGCCCGCCCCCTGGGCCCCGATGCACCTCCCCAGGTAGGAGCAGCCGTGGCGGCGGGCGGGAGCCCCGGACGTCAGAGCGGGGAGGGTGCTTGGAGAGCCCCCGGGCCGGCCTCCTCTGCGCGCGCCGACGGGGCGACTGAGCCCGGGAGAGGTCAGGGACTGTGTCGGCTCGGCGCCGGAACTCAAGGATTGCGGATTGTTCCAGCCTCTGGAGGGGGCTGGGACTCGCAGGTGAAAGACAGGGCTTGTTTCACTTTTTGCCCACAGAGGATGAGGACTGGCAGAGGGGGGCGCTTGCTTATTGCGGGGCCGGGGGCCGGGAAGGGAGAAGACGCGCCCGGTGACCGACTCCCGAGGTCTTTCAAGGATGATTTGCAAACCTCGGTCAGGCTGGCCTGCCCATTCCCCATCCAGCCCTCACCTCTCAGACCAGGGTTTCTGGTCCCGACAGGGGAGGTGACTTGCCATCGCCCCACCGTGACTGTGCCGCGTAGCGGAGCCTCGCTCCCGTGTCCGTTCGGACTGCGGTTCCCGATACGTGCTTTGGGTGTGTGCGGAAGGTTTGCTTCTGCAGAGCCCTTCTGTGCCGGCGTTCAAGGAAAGGCTGCCCGCGACCTGCGCTCTCCTGTCTTTGGGTGACTCGAGACCCCTCTTTGTGTGCTTGGTGGAGACTGGCGCCGAGTTTAAAGAGGACGAAGGCTGGGCTTCTGCCTCTCGCGGTCACCTCTTCCAGCAGTTCGTCCAGGCCAGGGAGGGCTCCACGTGACTCCCGAGTCCCCGGGGGGCAGCCGAGCCGCCCCTTCCTCAGTGAGGGCTGCGAGGGGAGCTCCCTCTGGGTGGGCGCGTCCTCCGGGGAAGGGGCGGGCTGCTGCGACCCTTGGGCTTTGCGGGTGTCGGGTTTCTGAGTTCGTTTCCTGCCAGCCGCGCAGGCGAGCCTCAGGTCTCCTGAGACACCCTGCAGCGGCCGTCCCGCCGGCCGGGGTTCGCTACACGGCCTTTCGCCAAAAGACCTTGAGGATGTCCCTTCCGAGTCGCAGGACCTCGATTTTCTGCTCCGTGAATAGGGAGCCGGAGGGCACGTGCGGATCTCAGAGGCCCCTTCTACCCATAGAGTTCTCGGCTTTGATGCCGATTCTAGATGCTTTTGCCGAGACGCAGCTTTCCGAGGGGCAGCAGGCGCAGGGCAGGGTGGAACAGAGCGAGCCGCACGACCCTTGCGGGATTTCGTCCTGTGTGTTGTGGCGGTGAGTGGGGGTTAGGCTCAGCCCTGCCGAGCATTGGGCGAATGCGTGCGGAAAAAAGAGGCAGCGAGCCCACATCCTCGCTCCAGCGGCCCGGGGTGTGGAAGGGACTGCACGCTTTGCAAGACGACCTTTGTCAGCTGATGACCAGCGTGGAGCTTTTCAACCCCCAGCTGCCTTCTTCCAGAGTAACACAGACTCGAAAATCCAGTTTTAATCCTGTTGTGTTTTTCCAAAGGGAAAAAACAAGTTTACATTAAAAGGAATTTAACCGCTTACATCATATTAATCTTACAATACTTGATTTTGTGGCTCTCTGTATTCCCAAGATTTTAAGATGAAAATTTCAACTGCAATCCTAATGTGATTCCATAAATCAAAGAATTCACATTCTGTAATTCTAAAATCCCATGACCAGAAGTCTAAATTCTTTGTGACTATATTCTTGTGACTTTAAGCATCTGGTTAAGGTGTAAAACTGCATTTCTCCTATTTTAAGATGATGGGACTAAGATTTTGTGCCTGAAAATATTGTACCACTATTGAAAGATACAGCTTCTCGAGATTTTAGGGTTGTTTTTTTTTGTTGGGGTTTTTTTTTTTTTCAGCTCTATGGTGTATGTTACTTAATTTGAATTTCTGTCCAGGAATGTCTGATTGGAAAATTTGGTTCCTATAAATCCACAAGTCTCTTCTTCCTTGATCCCAAAATGTTAGTACTGGATCACACTATTCTTTAACTCAAAAAATCTAATTCTAATAATTGTTGTAATATTCATAATCATTGACTTTGATCAGTCATGACTTTGATTTGGCCCCAAGAGTTTATTATTCTCTAATTTTTAAGCTCCAGCAACTAAGCTTAGAAGCCTCTGTGTCTCAGGATTTCTCGATCCTCAATGTTTCTTGTCTGTGCACCCATTCTTCTAGAACTGATTCTTATTTCTCAAATTTTGCTGCCACTATCCAGCAGACAAAGAGCATCCTGAGGTTAGAATTCCTAAGATTCTAAGATTTTCATAAACAAAGGATCCTAAAGATTCTAGTCCATCAATGTTTTATTCCAATGATGCATTTCAGAATTCTGTACTTTGAAGATTCTATGAATACACGATGTAAAATTGAATAAAAGATTTAATGAGTGAACGGGGACAGTTTACCCGTTTGGTTCAAAACTACAGAAAAAGATTCCCTCGGTGCCTGGGTCCTTGCTTTTCCCGGGTCAGACCTTTCCCTCTTCTCTGGCAGGTGCTACTCAGTGATTTCAGGGATGGCAGACCCCTCTGAGAGCCATTCGAAAGCTACTGAGCAGGTTCCAGCCCTTCGGAAACCGATCTCCAAGTCAGGCGAGGGGGGGGGGGGCGGTGTCGGCACTGGCGGGGGAGGTACATCTGCTTTGTGTCTGCCCTCAGGCCTGCGTGTATCCCCAGAGCCCCGTGGAACATCCTGCCCCTCCGGGGGCTGTTTTATGTGCCGTTCGGGGACGCGGAGGAGCGCTGGTGACCTGCAGAAGCCACAGGCGGTTTTGTCCCTATGACGTCTTTCCTGAGTTTAAAGTGCCTGCAAGTGTCTGTAGACATACAGGAGGAGATCCCTGGAGTCCAGGAAAGTTCCTCCCTATCCCTGGGCCCAGATGCCGGTTTATGCAGATGCAGCGGTAACCAGCTCCTCTCCTTAAGGAAACTAGGCCCAGGCTGGCAAGGGGCTGCCTTAAAATCTCGCAGAGGAGGTTCAGCACTGAAGGGGAAACTTGGGTCTTGGGCTCCTTACCTCCTGGACGGCAGAGCATCCTCTTTTCCTGAGTCCTCAGAGCTCAGCAGCCTGACTTGTGCTCAACGGCCTGGCTTGGGGCACACGGCTTACGGAGTGACAACAGAAACTCCAGGCCCCGTGGCTTGCAAATCAGGTCCAAGAACCTGGGCACAGCAGCAACACAGTGACCGCTGGGGTTACCCCGGGTCGGTCGCGGTCAGTGGCTGCGCGGCGTCAGGGAGCGTTAGAGCAATGCACTGCCGGGAAGGGGGTCCGTGCCGCACCGCGCTGCCCCGACTGCAGCAGCGGGTGAGGACGCCCATTCTGCCCCCCTCATCGCTGGCCCCGTGGCCTCGAGCCATCCGCTGCCCTTCTCAGGCTTCGGTTTCCTCCGTCCGTTAAGTGGGGCGATTCCCAACCTGTGGTCTCTCTTCCAGGGAGTGGAGAGTACGAAGTGGGGCACATCGCCAACCCGTGATCGTTTTCTTCAGCTTTTGAATTGTGTTCAGGGCAAACTTGGATGTGGAAAAAAGACAAAGTGGGGAAATTCAAGTCGTGCCCACGCACGGGCAGAGACGAGATGCCTCCACCTGGAAGAAGTAGCGGTTGATTAAAGTAAAAGGTTCTCCGCGAGCTGGCGGGCGTGGGTGTGGGTTAAGGTTTGGCCTCTTTCTGCTCCTTGCGCCGTGCGTGGTGCGGGGACCCCCGGAGCTCGGTGGGGCAACCCCGCTTCGGGTGCTTTCTTGCTACTGGTTCACTTAAACGCCGGGAACAGAGAATTGTCATCACCGGGCATCAATCGGGGGAAGAACCGGAGCCCAGAGAGAGGTCTGCTGCTTCCCACCACCAGCGTCCCGGCTGACGGCTGACTTCGAGGGCGCGCCTAGCGTTTTCAGGCTCTCAGCCCCTGCTTCGGCGCTCCATCCCAGCCCTGCCCGCGACGCGAGTCCTCGGAGCCGGGAGCCGGGAGCTCAGGGGCCAGCTCGGAGCTCATTGGTGGCGGCGCAAAGGGCAGCCTGGCTCTGAGAGAGCTGGGGCTTGTGCACCGCGTACAGCGAGTCCGGGAGCCCGAGCCAGGGCCTGGACCTGGCCGCAGCGCCCCCGCCCCACACTCCTCCTCCGCGCTGTCCTCGCTGCTCTGCGAGCTTTCCAGAGCCTACGGCCCAGGAGCGCCAGGCACGACCCTGCTCGGACCGGCCAGGGCGCGGGGTGGGAGAGGGCTGGGTGTGATGGGCTCCCTCGGGAAAGCCGTGGCCCGGGGCGGGCGGAGGTGGCGGTGGGCCGGCACGTGTCGGTTACATTCTGGGACGGCGGCCGCAACAGCAGCCCTCTGGGGCCGTCGCACATGCGGGGTTCTTGAGTTCACTGAGCTCTTTGCACGTCTTTGGGCCTCCGAGAAGCACGGAATTTGCACGGAACGTTGTGGGTGTCCATTTCGGGCGATAGAGTCCAGGCTTTGCGGGCAATTCCAACAGGGCGCGCCCTCAAAGGGAAAGCGCCCTGGTCTGGACTCCAGTTCCACCACCGTGGGCACAGCAAGACAGCGACCTGGCCGCCTGCCCAGGCCAGGTTCAGTGCAGACCCCAGGCCTCTGACTCCGATCCTTGGCTCCCCCAGCAGGCACCGCGGCCGGCAGCGCAGCCCGCCGGCAGCTGCCCCTCAGTCTCGGCTCCCGGGGTCGCGGCGGGGGTGGGGATGAGTTTGGTTAGAGCTGGGCACAGCGCCTCAGGCAGGCCCCCCTCGCAAGACCCGAAGACCCCGGCTGGGCTGGCTGTTTGCTCAGCCCCTACGGCTTGAGGCGGGTGACGGCGCCCGGAGTCGGAAGACACTCGGCTCCTTTGCACCGGAGGAAGGCTCAGCTTTTTTCTGGCCCCTTTCCTTTGGGTATTTTTGGGTCTCTTTCTCTGTTTCAAGGCTTGTGTGTATCTCTTTCGGGCTCACCGTCTGCCTCTT